GACACGGGTACCCAGCTTAGCACACTTCTTTCCTTCTTTTCTTTTCTTTCATTTTTTCTTTTCTTTTTTTGCCAGTCCTGGGGATTCAATTCTGGGCCTAGGCACTGTCCCTGGGCTCTTTTTTTTGCCCAAGTTTAGCACTCTACCATGAGAGTCACAGCACCACTTCTGGGTTTTTCTGTGATTAATTGGAAATAAAGAGTCTTAAGGCCTTTCCTACAGGGACTGGCTTCAAACTGTGATGCTCAGATCTCACCCTCCAGAGTAGCTAGGATTACAGGCGTGAGCCACCAGCACCCAGCTTACTTTTCTATTTCTTAATGAACCACATTTTACAAGAGTTCGTTGAAAAGACAGATAAGGAAAGTTGTTACAGCAAAGCTCTCACGAGGGTTAACCACCTCAGTGAGACTCCTTGACAACACTCTGTTAATAAAAAGAGCTTATACTTCTCTTGATAACTCTGGTTATGTGCTTGTTTGAAATATTCTGTTATGTTTAATTAACTAATTAATCATTGTAATTGTCAGTGGCTGATAACTTCTTCATTTCATTAAAATGTCATCTGTTCCCTATGTTTAAACCAGAAGGTAGTGATATTTCTAATCAATGGAACAGGAACCTGAGTTAAAAGTTATCTTTCCACCCAGAACAGTAAACACAAATCCTCTATTAAGCTGTTAATGGTGCTTTCCTGCTGGCAATATTGGTTCCTTCTGTCTACTAACATATAGATTATGAAGGACATTATCTTCAAAGTCAATGTTTAAGCACCTGGACCACTGGGAAAGATGGCAGAATAAATGTGTGTTTGTTTAAGTGCTCCTGTCCTCAGACACACACATTCAAAAGTTGAGCAAGGAGTTATCTATAATGGAATAGATATATAAAAGCCACAATCTCATACCTTGGACTCCAAGGGCATGTCTAACAGATAAAGCAAAAGGCATAAATACATTCTGGACAAATAATGATTTCAGAGACTATGAAAAATTGAGAAAAAAAATGGTCCAGCACAGACAAAGAAAATAAGGAATCAAAAAGGACAACATGAGCCAGATACTAGTGGCTCATGCCTACAATCCTACCTTCTCAGGAGGCTGAGATCTAAGGATCGTGGTTAGAAGGCACCCAGGCAGGAAAGTCTGTGAGACTCTTGTCTCCAATTAACCACTAAAAAGCTGGATCCATGATTCAAGTGGTAGAGTACTAGCCTTGAGTATGAAAGTTCAGGGATGGTGTTCAGGCCCTAAGTTCAAGCCCCAGGACTAGCACGTGCGTGCACGTGCGCGCGCGCGCGTGCACACACACACACACAGAGCATAATATAATGCTCTAAGGGAAAAAGTAAAAAATTTAAAAACCTGTAACAAAGTGAAAGCCACATTATAATCAACACTACAGACCTACTAACAACAGTACAGAAAATCGAGTCATTGAAATGAAGGATGACTTGAGGGGGAAAAAAACATACAGCTTGAAGGAAGACAAGTAGACAAAAGCCATCAAAAGAAAAGTACATGTGAAGGATAGAGAAAGCCAAAAGAATGACAAATTCTTAATGAATAGGACAGACCATAACAATATACAATCCAGTAAGGCCAGAAATATCAGTATTTAATGCTCACCGTGTATTAGAAAAGCCAAAAGAAAACCCTTAACCCTGAGATCTACCCAAATGAAGTCACTGATTTCAAGGATGAACAAAGAATCACAGGTCATCTGCAAAAGAGTAAGAAAAATCCATCTGGTCTCACACTGTCAGTGCCATCAGAAATCGACAACAATGAAATAACATTCTCAATGAATCAAAAGAAAAAAAATGTGATTTAAAAATACAATTGGTAGCTTAATTATTGTCCACAAGTAACAGCAATAAAAATACATTTGTAAATATGTGCGAATCTAACTAAAGCTGTAATCAGGTCGACCAAAAGATAAGAGCATCAACTCTTGAATGAGGCGTCTTGTATGGAAGGGTTGGCAGTAGGCACTGATTTCATTCAAACATAGAATTAAGCCTAAATAACTCTAGTAATTACCTACAGTTATAGACTTTAAGGTGCCTATCTTTCCAGGTAAAAGCTGCCAAATCCATTTGATTATCTCCTCCAACGAACTTGCCAAAATGGAAATACACAAAAGAAAACCTCTCGGGAGTAGAATTACCTTGTATTATAGAAAATTTTTGGTTTAGAGCTTAGCTTACCCTAGAGGATTAATACGCCCAAGAAATTCCTCAAAAGGAACAATGCTAATTACCTGGTGGACTGTTGAGACCTCAGAACAAGACCCAACTACTCACTTTGGTTCTGCCACCCAAGCAAACTACTTAACTGCTCTGGATTCATATGAAAAGCAGAGCTATTCCTGTATGGTCTACCTCATGGCACCAAAATGATTAAACTTGATTCTGAATGGAAAGGTTTCTTTGGAATCTATAAGCCAGGCTATAAAATCATGCTACTGTTTAAATGAAAAGAACCCCTGTATAGATCCCAAATTAGATATTCAGAGACAAAGAAAAGATCAGATAGTCCCTATGAGTCCAGCTCTACATCTGTCACTTTCCCACATTTTAAAGTCATCTTTTAGCACAGTGTTAGTTTTCCTTCTTTGCTTCAACAGATACTTACACTCAGCCCTACTATGCACCAGGCACTATTTCAAATGGTACACATGGTCCTCAGAAAATTAAGAAAGAACGAACGAGAGCTGGGTGCTGGTGGCTCATGCCTATAATCTTAGCTACTCAGGAGGCTGAGATTTGAGGATGGCAGTTCAAAGCCAGCCCTGGCAGGAAAATTCATGAGACTCTTATGTCCAATTCACCACCACCACCAAAGGAAAAAAGAAAAAGAAAAAAGAAGAAGAAAAAAAGAAGAATAGGGAAGAACTTAGCTGAAAGAGGGGTCAATGTCTATTTCTATTACAACGTCTACATAGGAATCTGACTGTTTATAAACAAACCCAGCAAACAACTCGAGATGTGCTCAGTTCCAGAGGATTATTACAATTAGCAATGTTGGGAGTTGTAAGATGTTCTGAAACTCTGCTAATGGTTGCTTTAGGAGTTAAATTCTTAAAGAAGGAAACAAAACCAGGAAGAGCCAGATTGTATTGGGGTAATATGAATGAATAAGTCCAAAAGTATATCAGTAAAGGACTACCTTAAACTCATTTAAATATTGAAGCAAACGTTTGGTTTTTAAAAAGATGTATAAGCCGGGTGTATAAGCTAGTGGCTCACGCCTGTAATCCTAGCTACTCAGGAGGCTGAGATTTGAGGATCACGGTTCAAAGCCAGCCCAGGCAGGAAACTCCGTGAAACTTTTACCTCCAATAAACCACCAGAAAACCAGAAGTGGCGCTGTAGCTCAAGTGGTAGAGCAGTAGCCTTGAGCTGAAGAGCTGAGGGACAGCGCCCAGGCCCAGAGTTCAAGGCCCACGACCGACAAAAAAATAAAAAATAAAAAAATAAAAAAAGGTGTGTAAAGAAGATGACAGGATGTTTCTACATTCTACTCCACCTTAGGTGATGCTTGCATCCCTCAAGCAATAAAAATATTGCTGGAAGTCTGGTGCCATTGGCTCATGTCTATAATCCTAGCTCCTCAGGGGGCTGAAATCTGAGGATGGTGGTTCAAAGTCAGCCCAGGCAGGAAAGCCTGCGAGACTCTTTTTTCTTTTTTTGCCAGTCCTGGGGCTTGAACTCAGGGCCTGGGCACTGTCCCTGAGCTTCTTTTTGCTCAAGGCTAGCACTCTACCACTTGAGCCACAATACTACTTCCCGCTTTTTCTGTTTATGTGGTACTGAGGAATCGAACCCAGGGCTTCATACATGCTAGTCAAGCACTCTACCACTAAGCTACCTTCCCAGCCCTGAGAAACTCTTATCTCCAATAAACTACCAAAAAAGCTCTGGCTCAAATGGTGGAGCACTAGCCTTGAGCAAAGACAACCTTCAGGCCTTGAGTTCAAGCCCCAGGGGACCCCCCCAATACTTTTGGAATGAGGCAGTGGCTCCCATGGCCTGAACGTGCTGCTTCCTTTTCTCCCATAATATACTTGAAAAGTGTATAGGTGCTAGCTCATGTTTATAAGGAAGCTGGGATCTTGGAATGCAAGGGATCACTATTTTTACTTTGTGGAGAGCACAACAAAATGATCATATGGAACCATTTCCCTTCCCAAAACACAGACTCAACTTCAAACCAATGATTTGCTAAGTGATTCATCTCTTAGCAATCTCTTGTGAGAAATACACCAAACTTTCTTTTACTTGACATCATATTTATATTCTGTGTCAAAGACATTGTAGAAATAAGACCTTTGCAAAGAAGGGAGCTACCATGAGGTCAGGTAAGATAATAAAATGGAAGAGAATCAGACTCAGTGGCACTAAGAGAGTTGCAATCAAGCCAAGTGCAGCTGGTCTGAGCATAACTCCTCCCGGGGGGGGGGGGGGGGGGATCACTAACTATGGTGGCAGTAAAGACATCTGCACTGCTACTATAGTATGACTAAAGGAAGAGGAATACTTCACAAGTTAAAACATTTTTTCTTCAGACAAGAGTCTGGTATGTAGCCCAGGCTGGCCTTGAACACGTGATCCTCCCACCTCAGCCTCCCAAGTGATGGGATTATAGATGTGTACCACCACACTGAGCTATAGGTAACAATGTCTAAATCAGAGGACTCCATATTGGAGAACTGCAGTAAAACATGTATATGGACATTAAAAGCAGGTAGAAAAATTATAGTGAACAGAAACACATACTGTGGAGTTGTATTAGAAGCTGGTTTGACTCTGGACTCTCAGAGCTTCTGGTATTAACTGCAAATATAACATTCTCCTTCCTTATTCTGTGTCTTCTGCTAGTTCCTATTTCCAGCCTCCAGCAAGAAGGACTGTGAAAATCAGATTAAGCTGACAATTCTAAAGTTGTCTAAAATTAATGGCAATGAAAATTAGGAAGACATAGCCTTTTTCAAAATCCACTAGAAAGAATATTTTCTCTCCGATAGTCTTATTTTGTACTAGTAAAGTGCATCACACAGGAACTTTCCATAGAAGTCTAAAAAAAATATAATAGGACAATGATGCAGTATTACACTGATGAGATTTTTATGAAAGTATAAAAGCTTCAGTCCATTCTCTACAAGCCTGATACTGCCTAGAAGACAGCTTTTCACTTAACATCTTTGAAACTAAATTGCTTAAGTGAAAATTTTCAAGTCAACTTTTGAGGGTGCTTTAATCACCAGAATGGAAGCATACAAATGAATTTTAAAATAAAATAAATGCCATCATGATTAAGGTCTAGCATCAAGAGGCCATACCTCACAGTGAGAATACAGTCAGATGGAAGGTGAAAACAAGTCTAAATCAGAGAAGGAACACATATAAGACAAGAAAGGTAGGTCCCTGGGACTGAATCATTAAGACACACTTAGCAGATGTCTTCCATGTCCAGATTCTCCAGGCCCTAGCTGGGAATAAATATGGTATTTGATCATAAAAAAGAAACAGTAGGATTTGTTATATCTGGAATGGGCAAAGAATTCGGAATCCTAGGAAGACTTTAGACACTAGATGCCATTATAATGAAATAAAGTGTATGAGGGTTGAAGAGCTCTAGGATAGTTCGTGCTCTGTGCTCTTTTATGACAGATGCCAGCCACACCATAGCAAAGTACCATGAAGAATTACTCAAGTTATTATGCTAGTGGAAGATCTGGCTGGAGTAATTATAGAAGGGCTCCACAGAAAGGTATGAAGAAAACACACATTCAAACATTGGGAATAACTATAGTGTAATGCTCAGAATAGGTGGGAGAAAGTTCTCTGGTTGAGCTGCAGAAGACAATCTTTCTTCACAGAGAGGATCAAAGCATTCAGTTTTCTAGAAAGTTCTATTAGTCTTCATCTTGTCCCTATAAAGGAAATAATTGGGAATATCCACAGTAAGTTTATAAGTATAATCTCTATTGTAACCAATATTTACTCAGAGCATTTAGTTAGAATGATAAGTAAAAAAATCCTTGCCTTAATTCAGAATCATTTTTATGGTGACTATAGAAAAAATAACATTTAATTACGTATATGCTAAAATAGTTCTTTGCTTTCAGTTAAAATCTTGATTAGACATGTAAAGTGATTACTAATAGATATGAGATTTCTTCTTGGGGTGAGAAAATATTCTGAATTTAGATCAGTGGTGAGGGTTGCAAAACTGTGGATATACTAAGAAAACCTGAACTGTATACTTCAAAGGGATGAACTGCATGCAATGTGAACTGTATCGCAAATAAATGTGGTATGTAAGAATTGGCTAGAGAATAACTTTTCTTAGAATTTATCATGAATAAACACCAATTTTTCCATCTCCACTAAATAATTTCTGAAGATTTCTATCCATTACTTGTTAGTTTAACATTTAAGACTGTCAAGGTAAACAGTTTTGCTAAAATTTGACAACATACTAGAAATGAATATTTAGTATATAACATGCTACACTATTGTGTGTGTGTGTGTGTGTGTGTGTGTGTGTGTGTGTGTGTGTGTGTGTTGGTCCTAGGGCTTGAACTCAGGATTTGGGTAGCGCTCTATTACTTGAGCTACTGCCCACTTTTGGCTGGTTTTTTTTGGTGGCTAATTGAAGAGTCCCATAGTCATGTCTACTCAGGCTGGCTTCAAATCATGATCCTTAAGATCTCCACCTCTTGAGTAGGTAGGATTACAGGTGTGAGCCACCGACACCTTACTTACTTACTTTTAAAATTATCTTGGCAGGGCTGGGAAGGTGGCTCAGTGTTGGAGCGCTTGTCTTGCATGCCTGAGGCCCTGGGTTCCATTCCTCAGCACCACATAAGCAAAAAGAAAAAAACCAGAAGTGGTGCTGTGGCTCAAGTGGTAGAGCGCTAGCCCTTGAGCTGAAGAGCTGAGGGACAGCGCCCAGGCCCAGAGTTCAGGACCCACGACTGGACCCCCCCCCCCAAAAAAAAACAACACAAAAACAAAAAAAAATTATCTTGGCAATAGGATTCCATTAAAACTACCTTTTCACACCCCAAATGGACCTTATTAAGGATAGGTTCTTTATTACCCAAATCCTCCTTGTATCTGTGCCATAGTCTTACTTCATGCCCTATGTGTTCTCTGGCTTGCACACACACTGGAAATGGAATGGTAGGAAATTGACGTGATAGAGATATTTCAGCTGATTAGCTTAATCTTGGCTGAGAATGGTGAGGTGTTTTTATAAGTGGAATTAAAAGGAAAGGAGATGCAATTAAGCCCTGTATAGCTGGTCAGGGCACAGCTCTTCCCTAGAAAAATAACGCATCATGGTGGCAGTGGGACACCTGCATTGCTACTATCATATGACTAAAGGTAAGGCAACCAAACTTGTCTACATTTCATCATTTGAGATGAGTGGCATGGTGGTACCTCTCATAGTATTTCTGTAGGAAACCATATCATTTACATCACTCATTGGAAAAGACTGACAGTACAAAATTGCAGAGCTATATAAAGTACATGGTATAAAAATTATTATTCTGCTATACTATGTTAAAGATGTTAAGAACCAAGGTTTTCATAAAAAATAAACTAAATAAAATATATGAGAGAAACAGTGGCATGTCAAAAAGAATCAAATGAACAATATGAACTTATATATAGATGCATATATATGAGGGGCATATCACACATATCACACACGTGTGAGTGATATATGTGTGCGTATACACTCACATACATATACACACACATATGCAAATACCTGTCTAGATAAAAGGCCTAGAAAAATCTAGGTTCTCTAGTTGAGCACTCTCAACTCCCAGATCTTTACTATTTGGTTGAAAGAAGAAAAGAAAAGCAAACATATGAGTTCTTTAGGGGAAATGGCTCATGCTAGGACAGAGCATGAAAGGTGTCAGACGAGCTTAGGTTAATCATCTTTGGCCAGAAACCAGGAAATCTTTCAAAGATTAATAGGCTTTCTCAGTAGAAAACAAGAAAATGATCTCATTCAATATAGTTCCCATTGGGAAATCTAAGTAGTAAAAAGGATCATGTCCACTACATGCAATAATATAGATGTTCCACACAGAAGAATACATACTGAAAGGGTACATATTATTTGTCAGAAAAATGATTCTATATGGAGAGGGGAGGAGAAGAGTTTGACTACAAAGTCTTCTGGGGTGGTATTTATTTATTATTTATTTATGTCTGTTGTAGGGCTTCAACTCAGGACCTGGGCACTGTCCCTTAGCAATTTCGCTCAAGGATAGAGCTTTACCACTTGAGCCACAGCACCACTTCCATTTTTGAGTGGTTACTTAGAAGTAAGAGTGTCACAGGGACTTTTCTGCCTGGGCTGGCTTCAAACCTCAATCCTCAGATTTCAGCCTCCTGAGTAGCTAGGATTATAGGCATGAGTCCTCGGCACCGGGCAGGGGGTGCTTTTTAAATGAAATTCATGACAAGACAAACCCTTGCTCACTGTGTTTAATACCCCTACAGTGCAAGGATTCTTAGGAGAGTGGACCATTATTTACATGGTGATTCTGGTTACCCAATTCTGGGTACATCCTTCTGTTAGGCCTGAATAGTATGTTCTCATCTTTCTCTAGGGAACATTTTGCTTTTCCAGGGATAAAACTGCAGAGGACATCAGGTGTTAACGCACTGTTCGCTCATCTAGATGGTATATTCTGGGGACAAATCAGATGTTTACAATGGAAATCAAAGTAGTACATTACTGTTTAGCCTTGTATTTTGAGGCATCTCTTGGTTCACTGCTGGGATTGCTCCAGTCATCGGCCTCAGGTGTGGTCTTGTAATGGCGCCATGCAGACTTATTGAACACTGGCAGCCTCTCAAATGATTCACTTGAAAGGGCCTATGGAAAAAGCACATACACTTCAGGTCCATGATGCTACATTTCTCATAAGACACACATATTGTACCTTCTAAAACAGCAGTAATCATAATGCATAGCTCTTGAACTTAACTTACAATTTAACTTAACATTTTAATTAGACTGGCCAGGAAGGCTTCCCTGTCCCCACCCCTGGCATGGGGATTTGAACTGAGGGCCTGGGTGCTGTTCCTGAGCTTTTGCATTCAAGGTTAGCACTCTACCACTTGGATCCAACCACCACTTCCAACTTTCTGGTCGTTAATTGGAGATAAAGAGTTTCATGGGCATTCTTGCCTGGGATGGCTTTGAACCATGTTCCTAGGATCTTAGTCTCCAGGGTAGCTAGGATTACAAGCAAGAGCCACTACTGGCTCCAGGCTAAAACTGAAGCTTTATTTTATTTTATTTTTTTTGGGTCCGGTCGTGGGGCCTGAACTCTGGGTCTGGCCGCTGTCCCTCAGCTCTTCAGTTCAAGGCTAGCGCTCTACCACTTGAGCCACAGCGCCACTTCCATGAAGCTTTATTTTTTAAAGGAAAGAAAACATTCACTTACTCATTCAAAAATCAGTACTGAAGTATACATATCTAGCAGAAAACTGACTATTCTTAGGTCAAGCACTATTGTTCACTAGGCACCTTTTCCCTCAATAGGGCTCAGGAAGAAATAATCTCATACATATCAGATTTATAAACATAAAAGTAATATCAAATACCATAGTAGTTCAGGGTTGGGCATGTAGCTCTGTGGTCTAGTGTGCTTAACACGCATGGGATCCTGGGTTCAATTTCAAGCGCCAAAGCAAACAAAAATCACATTATCTATAAGCAATGACATCTAAGAGAAACACTCCAAATAACTGGTTAAATCATGGTACTGTAGCCTGGCACTGGTGGCTCATATCTGTAATCCTAATTACACAGGAGGCTGAGATCTGAGGATTGAGGTTTGAAGCCAGCTTGGGTAGAAAAGTCCCCGTGAGACTCTCATCTCCAGTTATCCACTCAAAATACAGAAGTGGAGCTGTGGCTCAAAGTGGTAGAGCACTAGTCTTGAGCAAAAGAGCTAAGGGACAGTACCCAGGCCCTAAGTTCAAACCCCACAATAGCCCTCCCCCAAAATATGGTACTATAAACATATATGTCACAGTTAAACAGAATGAGTCAGCTCTATATGAATTATATGTAGGAAGATCTGCAAAGTAAGCATAAACTAAGTGAAAATAAGGGAAATGTCAGTTACATGGGCAAATATTAGATTCCTGTCATATTTATAAATTTATATAAATATATATTCACATAAATTTAAAATTTGTATAAATTTATATAAATATATAAACCTCTAGGAGATTAAGACTTGTAGTCACTACTGTAAGAGAACTGGTGGCGTAGGACCAGCAGAGGTAGACTTGGTTTTCTTTCTTCTTTTTTGCGGGGGAGGGGTAGCTCTTTTTTGTAAATTTTTGCTAGTACTTCTATTAACTATTCAAAAATATTCTAGGGGCTGGGAAGGTGGCTCAGTGGTAGAGTGCTTGCCTTGCATGCATGAGGCCCTGGGTTCGATTCCTCAGCACCACATAAACAGAAAAAAAGCTGGAAGTGATGCTGTGGCTCAAGTGGTAGAGGATTAGTCTTGAGCTGAAGAGCTGAGGGACAGGGCCCAGGCCCAGAGTTCAGGCTTCACGACCAGCAAAATAAATAAGTAAATAAGCAAATAAACAAAAAGACTCTAAATATTTGAGCATTTATAAATAAAAGCCTACCCTTTCCCCATCACACAATGCACATTCCTGTGGAAGCTAGCACGAAACAATTTTTTTTTTTTCCAGTCCTGGGGCTTGAACTCAGGGCCTGGGCACTGTCCCTGAACTTCTTTTGCTCAGGGCTAACACTCTACAACTTGAGCCACAGCACCTTCTGTCTTTTCCTATTGATGTGGTACTGAGGAATAGAACCCAGGGCTTCATTCATGCTAGGCAAGCACTCTACCACTACGCCACATTCCCAGCCTCTAAACCATTTTTGGACAACCTGCTTCAGAGTCAGGGTTTTAAGCATAGCACAGCAGCTCCCTTGCTTGTGATCTACTGAGAGTCAGTCCTTGACACAAGGGTTTATAAAATATAGATTTTTTTCTTTTTTTAAAGGTGAAACAAAAAAGAAAAAAAGAAATCAAACCCAACAGTAGCAATAAATGAGAAAGATTGTTACAGAGTATCAATACTTTTTAAAAGATTTTTTTGCTGGTCCTAGGGCTTGAACTCTAAGCCTGGGTGCTATCAGGTGAGCACTCTACCACTTGAGCCACAGCACCACTTCCAGCTTTTTTCTGAATAGTTTATTGGAGATAAGAATCTCATAGACTTCCCTGCCAGGGCTGGCTTCCAACTATGATCCTCAGATCTCAGTTTCTTTAATAGCTAGGATGATAGGGATCATAGCCACAAACACCTGTCTTCAACATTTATTTTATTTATTTATTTTTTTGGGTCCGGTTGTGGGGCCTGAACTCTGGGCACTGTCCCTCAGCTCTTCAGCTCAAGGCTAGCACTCTACCACTTGAGCCACAGCGCCATATCCGGCTTTTTTTTTCTGCTTATGTGGTGCTGAGGAATCGAACCCAGGCCTCATGCATGCAAGGCAAGTGCTCTACCACTGAGCCACCTTCCCAGCCCCTCAATATTTAATTTTTTTTCTGTGTACTGGTCCTGGGCTTGATCTGAGGACCTAGGTGCTGTTCCTGAGCTTGCTTCCCCCCGCAACTCCCATCTAAACTCAAGGCTAGAGCTTTACTACTTGAGCCACCACTGCACTTTGACCTTTGTTTTAGGTGGTTAAATTGGAAATAAGTCTCATGGACTTTCCTGCCCAGGCTGGCTTTAAAGCATGATCCTCAGTTCTCTGCCTCCTGAGTGGCTAGGATTACAGGTGTGAGCTACTGGCACACAGCCTAGATCAACCTTTTTATAACCATATTTTCATTACTGAATTCTTATGCCTTGAGAAAGCCAGTGATATTTTTTATGTGTGTGCTGGTCTTAGGGCTTGAACTCAGAGTCTAGGCACTGTTCTTAAGCTTGTTTTGTTCAAGGCTGGTGCTCTACCATTTGCGTTACAACTCCACTTTTGGTTTATTTGGTGATCAGTTGGACTTTCCTGCCCGAGGTTTCAAACTGCAATCCTCAAATCTCAGCCTCCTGAATAGCAAGGATTACAGGTGTGAGCCACTGGTACTCAGCTAAGCCAGCTAAGCAACAGACTATGAAAAATTACAAGTTAGAATTATGGTTTTAAAAGTCAGTATTTTAACTTTTTATATCTCCATGCTTTATATTTTTTTCTGTATCTGAGCATAAAATCAAAAGTGAGGAATGCAAGGGATGATATGGTGTTTTTCTCAATTAGTTATACAGCAACAGAAATAGAATGCAGTACCTTCAGATAAATGACAGCATCAGTACCCACTCCTTCCATGGAATATAACTTTAGATCTCCCTGAAAATATCTAGCATACAGACGAGAAATTGGCAAACCATAACCGAAGCCAGCCTGTTAAAAAAATTAAAATAGTGAGACAAGCACATATAATTTATATGAGTACAATTCAGAGGAGATTAAAATAAATTATTGATTCAGATTTAAATAAAATGAATTGTTAATTCAATCACTATGACATATATGCTTATCTATGGCTTGACAATCTATTTTCACTCTAAAAAAATTTCTCATATGTTTGGATAATAACAGTCAAAAATTCTATTTTTTCCACTAACAGTTTTTTGCACTTTCAAAAAGCAAATACCAAATCAAGTGGAATTTTATCTGATGACAAAACTAAACTACATTCATTTCAAAGTTCCATTATCAGATTTGCTTGTTCTCTAGAGTGAGAATTAATAGCACAAGAGTTCAAAGCCACCAGTAACAAGGCTAAAAGACTGAAAAGAAAGCCATTGTCTCAGAGTCTACTTCTTAAGGTTCTGGAAAAGATACCACAAGTTAATATACAGTAGTTTTTTTTTTTTTTTTTTTTGAGATAAGAAAACAAATTCTAGTGGCTTCCTATCTGTCATTACAACTCTGACAACCAGTAGCTTTTTTCAAAGGGGTCTCAAATATTGGTGAGAACTACAAGAATAATTAAGACTAAATTCAATAGTGGTGGTCATGAGTGGGTGGGGGAGATGGGGCTGGGAAGGTGGCTCAGTGGTAGAGTGCTTGCCTTGCATGCATGAGGCCCTGGGTGTGATTCCTCAGCACCACATAAGCAGAAAAAGCCGGAAGTAGTGCTGTGGCTCAAGTGGTAGAGTGCTAGCCTTGGGCTGAAGAGCTGAGGGACAGCGCCCAGGCCCAGAGTTCAGGGCCCATGACCAGCAAAAAAAAAAAAAAAAAGCTTCAGCTTCTCTGAGCAAGGTGATGGAAAGACAGGCAGTGGTCCAACTGTATTTGAACTCAGACCTAAGTTGAAATCAACTTTTTTTGTGAGACTGAGAAGTCTCAATCTCTTTGACACTTCCCCAAACATACGACAAAAAAAGCTTACTTTGGGTCTACTAGAAGGATTAAAGGATATAATAAATGTAAATAAATGTAAAGTCACAGTGCCTAAACCATAGTAAAGCTAAATGATGAAATTTGGTATTATGACTTCTTTAGGTATTGTTAATTTTTTTCATTTTTATATGCTTATTGTAAAAATAGTGTACAGAGGGGTTACAGTTACATGAGTAAGGTAATGAGTACATTTCCTATGGAGCTTTGTTACCTCCTCCTTTGTTTTCTTATTATGACTTCTGAGAGCAGCAAGTTTAAAGAGGTATGAGGATTTCTACTATTTTCTAACATCTCCTTTGGAGACCTTCAAGGTTAAGCCTAACTGAAAGAGTGGGGGTGACAGGATACAGGCCCCCATCATTGAAGGGCCTTAAGATTAGCCGAAATATGGCCAGCAGGAAAGATGAGCTATCCACAGTAGTGATTGAAGTGAAATCAGTGAATCTCAGGAAAAGAGCAAGTGAATTCTAGGTCTAGCGGGAAACAGCAGAGGACACAGAAACACCTGTGAGGAAACAGGAAAACCTAGAGCCCCAAGGAACACAGCACAAAGGTCTCTACTTTGGGTGTGGCAATGTTGAGGAAAGGTTTCCCAGTGTTTCTATGGACCAAAAGGAATTAGCTGGGTGGCCATTTTCAAAAAAGAAATGCATGTATCAAGTTACAGAGGTGTAAGTTTCTAAGATGTTTGGAGAGGAAAGTATGCTTTCTAGTAGCATATATCCAGCACTCACTTGAAAGCTGAGGGCAGTTTACAAACTGGGGGAGATGCTAGGGGAAGCATTTGTTCAGAAAGAGAAAACACCCTATATATGGAAAAGATTTCAGACATAACCAGCACACACCCTAACCTGAGTCAGTTGAGTGACCATGGACAAAGTACTAATAATCGCATTTCCTCATCTAAATAGTAGAAATGTGAATACATTGAAAGGTGTCTTACTTCAATTTTTCATAAAGAAAACATTGACATAACAGCTACCCTCAGGATGCCTTTTTAAGATCTGGAATATGCAAGCCTTATTCTCTTTATGAACAACTTGAAAAAACACTGGATTTGTTTCCAGCAGCTTCTTTTTCTGTGTTTATTTAAATAGGTACTAGATGCTGTTCAGGCAAGTTGATCTTTTGCAAATTTTTTTGAATCTCTATAAAAATTATTTTCTCTCTGTTTTCTTTTTTTTTTTTTTTTTTTGGGTCCGGTCGTGGAGCCTGAACTCTGGGCCTGGGCACTGTCCCTCAGCTCTTCAATTCAAGGCTAGTGCTCTACCACTTGAGCCACAGCGCCACTTCCGGCTTTTTTCTTATGTGGTGCTGAGGAATCGAACCCAGGGCCTCAGGCATGCAAGGCAAGCGCTTTACCACTGAGCCACCTTCCCAGCCCTTCTCTCTGTTTTCTACATGCTGAGTTAACTCTGCGTTGAATAAATGATGCAAAGTGTTTTTATTCATACACATAAGACGACCTTATATGTTTATCAGCCAGGTAAGACTTTAAGATGAAATTTAATATATATCTTGAACTGTTTTGTCAACTGATAAATATGTTGCTGTGTTTAATGACAAAGAGTTCAATTGTTGTTTGTCAATTAGACTCACTCAGCAGGGGAAGAAAGGATGGTCCTATTGGATCTACACGCTACTATCTTTTTTTTTTTTTTTTTTTTTGTCGGTCGTGGGGCTTGAACTCTGGGCCTGGGCGCTGTCCCTCAGCTCTTCAGCTCAAGGCGAGCGCTCTACCACTTGAGCTACAGCGCCACTTCCGGTTTTCTGGTGGTTTATTGGAGATAGGAGTCTCATGGTCTCTCCTGCCCGGGCTGGCTTTGAACCACGATCCTCAGATCTCAGCCTCCTGAGTAGCTAGGATTACAGGCGTGAGCCACCAGCGCCCGGCATACACGCTACTATCTTAACCAGAGGTTTTTCTGACTACCTTAATAGTGATGAAGGGTAGTTCCAAATGTTACAGAAAAGACCTGGAAAATTTATATATCACTTATACGTTTTGTGCTTAGGTGATTTAATAGGAATTTTTTCTTGCCAGTCCTGGGGCTTGAACTCAGGGCCTGGGCACTGTCTCTGAGCTTCTTTTGCTCAAAGCTACCACTCTACAACTTGAGCCACAGCGCCAATTCTGGCTTTTTCTGTTTATGTGATACTGAGGAATTGAATCCAGGGCTTCATGCATGCTAGGCAAGTAATTTACCACTAAGACACATTCCCAGCTGGAAACTTTTTTTTTGGTTGGTCATGGAGCTTGAACTCAGGGCTTGGCTGCTATTCTTGAGCATTTTTGCTTAAAGGCATAGTGCTCTACCACTTTGAGCCACAGCGCCACTTCCAGTTATCTGGTGGTTAACTGTAGATAAGAGTCTCACAGACTTTCCTGCCCAGTCTGGCTTCAAACCATGATCCTCAGATCTCAGCCTCCTGTGCAGCTAGGATTACAACGTAATAAGAAATTTTTAATGTTTTCATAATTAAACATTCTAAGTATATAAACAAACTATATTGTAGATATTCAAAGCTTTGGATAAGTTGAACATCTATGGGATGTGACATCAAAGTATGTAGCAATCTAGGGCCAAAGGACTCATGAAGAATGTAGTGATAGCCAGGTAGTGGTGGCTCACACTTGTAATCCTAGCTACTCCGGAAGCTGAGATCTTAGGACTGTGTTTCAAAGCCAGCCAAGGTACAAAAGTCCATGCATGACACTCTTGTCTCCAATTAACTAGCAAAAAAGTTGGAAGTAGGGCTGTGGCTCAAACAGCAGAGCATCAGTCTTAAGCAAATAAGCTAAGGGACAGTGCCTAGGCCTTGAGTTCAAGCCCTAGTACTGGGACAAGGAAGGAAGGAGGAAAAGGAGGGAAGAGAAGGGGAAGGGGAGGGGAGGAAGGAAGAAGGGGGGGGAGCAGGGAGGGGAAGGGAAAAGAGGCCAAGGTAAAAATCTCCCCTTTTGCCAGGTGCCAGTGGCTCATGCCTGAAATCCTAGCTACTCAGGAGGCTGAAATCTGACGATTGTGGTTCAAAGCCAGCCCAGGCAGGAAAGTCTGTGAGACTCTTATTTCCAATTAATAACCAGAAAACCTAAGTGGTGCTGTGGCTCAAGTGGTAGAGCTCAGGGACAGCACCCAGGCCCAGAGTTCAATCCCCATAACTAACAAACAACAACAAAAAATCTCCCTTTTCTCCAAACCATATGGGGAAGCACCCTAATTCAGTGATTCTAGCCTAACAATCCAGAAAGCTAGGCCAGTCCATCCTTCTATTAAGGCAAGGTCGTTTTCTTCAGCAGTAGTTTGTAATGCTTACCAAGGGAGCCGCTCTTGAAGGCTCCAGACTAGGTCGAGGAGCAGTGGAGTACATGTAATTAAACAGGCGATCTATTTTTCGAAGTGGAACTCCACCACCTTGATCACTTATCTGCAGTGTACAAATAGACGAACATTTTAAAAAAAGAAGTCAATCTATATTTAGTGGGAGGCAATGAGTTCATTAAGTAAATCACATGCTAGAATGCTCTAAAACATAGTAGGAGCTACTGAAATGTGGCTTCTTTGGGAACAGTGTACAACAAAGGAGGTAGACCAGTGAAGCAGGATCCAGCAGGCTTCGGGTTGAAGTCTTGCTCAATGAAGTTTAAATAGGATAACTTAAGCTAAGAATGCAACATGGTGCTTTCATATGTCACTTGACCATAAGGATATAGCCTATGAATTGCTTCATTAGGCAGTTTTATCACACAAGCATCATAGAGTGTGTTTATACAACCAGGCTGGTTACTGTGTCACTAAGCAATGTAATCTTATAGGACCATCATCATATATAGTCAACTCATGACTGACTGAAACACTGTTACATGGCTATACATATAGATAATATAGTAACTGTCAGTTTTCTTCTCTCCCTTTGATCTCTCAATGTCTCAACATTGATAAAGTATATACGTAAATATAAAGCAGTTACCTTGATAGACAAGTCTTCTTTACCCAAAGTAACAAGAGTTTTCACAGCTGGGTAACCCTCTTTTCGGTCTTCATATAATTCGACTGTTGCCCTCATTGAGTTCTGAAATTGTAAGACTGTCTTTAAACACACACACACACACACACACACACACACACACACACACACACACACTCACACACACACACACTGCTGACTCATAAGCCACTATTTAATTAGTTAATTAATTTTGGTGTTGACCCCAGAACCTTACACATACTAAATACACACATACCCTACACCACTGAACTATATCTCCACCCGACAAACTACAATTGTAAAAAAGAAAGGAACACAACAATTTTTTGTGGGCCAATATTAGCTGGATGTAGATGCATTTTCCCCCTAAGGAGCTTAGCTAAATGAGTTCAGATCAAGGAAAAAAAATTTTCATATAGTTTTTAGCCCTATCCAACATGCTCAATATTTATTTTTCTTTCCTTGCTTCCTTTATTTTTGCTTTAGACTTCTAAAATTATTCAACTCAACTTAGAGGAATTTTTTTAATCACATGTAATGAGGCTGCAGAAGCTGATGTGTGCACTTGAAATCCTATTTGTCAGTCTGCCATTTATAAAGCACCTTTCCTCTAAAGATGGCAGAAAAATGGAAAACATTCATGCTTCCCACAGAAAATTAATCATTTGGCTGAGAAATGTGCAAGAAATATTAGTTACAGAGAAATGTGGAGAAACCCCACAGCTGTGGAAGGGAATTTTCACAATTGAATGGCCATCTCTATTCTATAGTTTTACATCAGTAATGTTCTAATTTTTGGAAGCAAATAAGCATAACTGATTTTTCAGATGTTCAATGTAGTGTTTTCCACAATGGAAGAAATAAAATTTTAGCTCAAATGCCTTAAAACTGCTAACAACATTAGCTACTAGGAAACAAAAGCAATAGCTTAGTCTATAGAGAATCTGAAGAAGACATTTGTCTTTTTTTTTTTTTTTTTGCTGATGATGGGGCTTGAACTCAGGGCTTGGGTGCTGTTCCTGAACTTTGGTGCTCAAAGCTAGTGCTCTACCACTTGAGCGTCACAGCTCTACTTCCAGCTTTTTTTTGTTTGTAGTTTAGTGGAAACAGAAGTCTCACTGACTTCCCTGACCTGGATGGCTTTGAACCACAATCCACAGATCTCAGAGTAGCTAGGATTACAGGAACGAGCCATTGGAGCCTAGCAGAATTGGGGCTTTTGTTTTTGTCCTTTTGGGTACAGGCCATCCACAGCTTTCTCTTCAGATTTGCCTCTGTCAGAGATTGTAAATTGACTCAAACATGCAAAATGGCCACAGGATCTTTGAGGGTAAGAACAGCTACTAATGCATGATCACAGCTAATGCTCAGTAGCATACATCTGTATAAACACAGTTTTATTTTGGTCTGACGCCCACCTATAATGCCTTTGCCAGATTTGGAAACTGAAAAGCATCTCTCATCTCATAACTGAAGAAAAACAGTATGGATCTGATGTAAAGTCACTAAAGTACAATTAAGTTTCGAAATCAGTATGTACTAATATTCAGGAAAACTATACTGTACACAGCAATTTTTCATCTCACAGTGTACAAATTATAAAAAAACCCACAGGATATCAGAAATAGAATTTTTAAAATGGTTATGCAAAACCTTTTTCTTATGCTAATCTAATGAATCCATTATGCCCTGAATCGAAGTAATTTAAAATGAAGACTTTGTTCCATGTTTTTAAATTCCACTTACCTTGAACAACTCAAATAGCATGTGAAACAGATGGGAGGGCACATAAACTACTTGAATAGGTTTGTCTGGTGCTTTGGCTGCAAACAGAGACAAAACCATCAATGAATAGTACCCAAACTAAAAGTCAGAATGATGTTCATCTTCTATTTTCCAAGTATATAAAACACAACTCTATAAAAAATAATACAAGGGTCTTATCTCCAATGGCAAGACTGAGGGAAAACATACGCTTCCAAATCAAATAAACTTGGGGTGAAATCCAGTTCCTTAATTTACCAGTTTTGTGAGCTTGGACAAATCATTCCAGCTCTTTGGAACTTAGCTGAACAAAATAAGAACATTAACATCTATGCTATGATGTGAAGATAAATATAGGATACCTAAATGTTACTTGGCATTTTTCAATTAGAAGGACACCTTCATTACTGACCCCAATGGTCATATGTAGGGATATGAGTCACCAGAGGAGAGAGGCTGGTGAATCAGACTTAACAGCAATGTAATGGTTTGAATCTGCAATGTCTAGGAAGATTCCTGTGTTAAAAGGCTTAACCAGTTGCTAGCTAATGGGCTTTGGGGAGTGATTGGATGGTAAGAGCCCTGACCTACTCAATGATTAATCTATTGGTGGATTCACAATTCAATAGGATGATTGGGAAGTAGTAGAAACTAGGAGGTGAGGGCCAGTCAGAGGAAGTAGGTCGCTGGGAGTGGGGCGGGGGAGGGCATGCCCTTCACCTGTATGTCTTGTCACCGTCCCTTTCTTTGCCTCCTCTGTCTTACAGTGTGTTTCTTGCCTTAGAACAATGGAGCCAGTCGACCACAGAATGAATCCATGAGCCTATAGATAGCCCATTCTCTCCTTAAGTTTTTTTTTTCAGGCATTTTGTCACAGGAGCAGAAAAATAACACAAGCAGTATTAAACTTTGTTGAATTATTGTAAACAGGGCATATTGTAGAGTAGAATGTAAGGCTCACATAACTTTCTACTAGCAACTAACCTCTGAAGACCTGTAGTAATTTTTCTCTGAGCGTCAGAGAACTGAGGAAAATCTAAGAAACTGAATCCTATGTCAAGCACTAAGAATAGTGTGAGAAAAGATGCTCAGAAACAGTTCTTCCCCCTCTTCATGACCTGACATGACTTAAGAGACTGAAACTACATGAACGTAAGAAATTAGAGCTAACATTGATCTGGTTCTTAATCCTTTACATATATTATCCAATTGAATCCTCATGGCAATTCTTCGTGGTTCATAGGGTGGGAAGTGTTACATGGGAACAAACAGGCTTTGGAAAGACTGTGACTCTGGTAACATAAGTGATTATGAAACTGGGCATTTGGTGCTATGGTTTGGATATCTAATGTTTTCCAAAGGCTATGTGTTAAAAGTATGTCTGCTGGCTATGGGAAGATAGTAGAATCTTTAGGAGGTGAAGCCTAGTAGGAGTCAGTTAGGCCATTAGGAGTATCTCCTTTAGGGGGATATCAGAAGCCTGGCCTTTTCTCCCTTTTCTCTTTGCTTCCTGGCCACCACGAGGTAACGCAACATTACTCCACCATGCACTCCCTGCCAATATATATAGTGCCTTGCTACAAAGCCCGAAAACAATGGAACCAAGTACCTTGGACTGAAACCTCTGAAATCATGAGCCAAAAAGAAATCTTCCCTCCTTTATCTCAGGTATATTGTTACAGCAACAGAAATCTGACTAATATAACTGGCTCAAAAGCTTATTTGGGGCAAAGTATCAAACTCAGGGCTTCATGCACTACAGTCTTGGACTTCCTAGCTACCAGAACTATGAGAAACAAATGTCTATTGTTTAAGCCACCTAACCTTTGGTAATTTTCTTTTTTTCTTTTTTCTTTTGGGTCCAGTCGTGGGGCCTGAACTCTGGGCCTGGGCACTGTCCCTCAGCTCTTCAGCTCAAGGCTAGCACTCTACCACTTGAGCCACAGCGCCACTTCCGGCTTTTTTCTTATGTGGTGCTGAGGAATCGAACTCAGGGCCTCATGCATGCAAGGCAAGCGCTCTACCACTTAGCCACCTTCCTAGCCCCTCTTTGGTAATTTTCATGACAGCAACCTGAAGGGACTAAAACAACTATCCACTGCTGAGTTCTACCTAGTTTCCATTGCTGGGTTTCTCTGGATTCTTTTATTGTTATTTCAGTGGAGCAAGCAGAGTGCTTAATCTGGTCTATCTTGTGCCAAAAGACATGTCTATTTATATAAACAGCCTCTGAATCCAACCTTTTTACTCTAAATTTTAAAGAAATGAAAAAAACCTTTTATGGTGCTTTTTTAAAGTTCAAATAACATTCTCTAGAAGCCATCTGAAGTCTTGCTCAATTATTTGCACTTTTCTTTGAGAATATTATAGTTTACACTTCTTTCCTTCTTTTAAAACCAAGTCAAATATTTTTGTCCATAACTCTTCCCTTATCCTGGGTCTAGTGGCTTTTAAGTAATGTCTGCTTAAGTGATGTTTGTTGATTTTCTAAAATAAGACACTGAATGTGAATTTTCCACCTAATAGTACATTTTAAAAGTCAATGGAAAAAATGGTCTACATTTCCATGCTTAAGATGTACAAAATAATAAAGTTTCTATTTTGCACAGTGGGTTGCCCCAAATATCATTAGCTAAAACAACATTTAACAAATGTCAACAGAATACTACATAAAGAAAGTTACTTTCAGGAAGTTTTCTAATAAGAATGAAAAACAGAAACTAGAAGCTAAGAAGGAAAACAAAATGCATATAAAAGAAAAGAAGTAGAAGTGCGGTTAAAGTTGGTTAATTGATTCTCAAAGTCAATGCAATAAAGACTATTAAAAACAATATAGAGTACGGTTCAAAATCAACACTGGGATTAAGACCTGGCTGCCAATTTATAACTACAGTAAGTATTTAACTCATCTGGGCCTCAATGCTGCATCTCTGAAATGGGCTCCGTACATATTTCATCAGGTACATATAAAGATTAAATGAGATAACAGTCATTAAACTAGTATACACAGAGCCTTCCACATAGTAAATAATCAGTCCATGTTGACTATAGTTGCCATTACTAAAAGTTAATTTCTCAGTGTTAACAAAGCTCTCGGTAATGACTTCTGAATTGTGTATGGGGCCACTTAAAGTATTCAATATGGATACTCAGGCAGCTGAGATCTGAGGATTGTGGTTTGAAGCCAACCCAGGAAAGAAAGTCCATGAGACTCTTATCTCCATTAAACTACCAAAAAGCCAGAAGTGGTTGAACACTACTAGCCTTGAGCAAAAGATGATTAGGTACAGAGTCCAGGCCCTGAGTTCAAGTTCCAGGACTGACACACACAAAAAGAACTCCTAAAATGTACCCACATGAATCTGGGTTTGACTCCCCCCTAGAACATGGGATCAGCTCTTACACTGGGGGAAGCACATGCTCACACACGCATGCACACACACATGCGCGCGCACACACACACACACACACACACACACTAACACTAATACAAAAGTCTCTACTTAAAGTGCTCCAGATCAACTTCTGACCTGTATGCCTAACAAGGAGCTCATTAGAGCTAAAGCACATTCTTTTTTTTGGTGGGGAGTGGTAGGGCTTGCACTCTGGACCTGGGCACTATCCCTCAGCTCTTCAGCTCAAGGTGAGTGCTCTACCACTTGAGCCACAGCGCCACTTCCAGTTTTCTGGTGGTTAATTGGAGATGAGTTTCACAGACGTTCCTGCCTGGACTGGCTTTGAACCACGATCTTCAGATCTCAGCCTCCTGAGTAGCTAGGATTACAGGCATGAGCCACTGGCACCTGGCTAAAACATATGCTTTAACCATGCTCAAAAAGAGCTCTGGCACTCAAGAAATCATTAATGTCAATCATAACTATATTACCCAAGGCAATAGAGAACTAGACATTGCCTATAAACACCAGCATTCATTTCTTTTAGTGATGGGAAAAGGGCCTTCATTCTTTTGTGATAATGTCAAAAAGAGTTGTAAAGCTCTGGTGATGGTGGGTGAGCTGCTGAGCATGGCAGCCAGTTGGGAGGAATGTGCTGACACAGCTAAGCTCTGGGACAGCAAGATCAGACCGGCTGCTTGGGCTGGAGGGTGAGTAAGGCTGCCATGCACCAAGCAGGAAAGAGCCATTCATTGCCCTTGCCCTTTTAAATTCCATTGTTTGAGCAACACTAAAATCTGGATGATTAAGTCAAGTTCCATCTAGCCAATAGGAAGAAGTAGAATGTTAAGACATTTCCAATCAGGAATATCCAAGCCAAACCCACTCAAAATGAAAGCACAATTATTCTGAAAGAACCCAATAGATTTTGGAAACAGCTCTGATTTCATACGTTCATGTAGACAGCAGGAACAACTGTCCTTTAACAGTAGCCTAAAGCCTTTTTTTGTTTTTGTTTTTGGTCCAGTCGTGGGGCCTGAACTCTGGGCCTGGGCGCTGTCCCTCAGCTCTTCAGCTCAAGGCTAGCGCTCTACCACTTGAGCCACAGCGCCACTTCCGGCTTTTTTTCCCCCTGCTTATGTGGTGCTAAGGAATCAAACCCAGGGCCTCAAGCATGCAAGGCAAGCGCTCTACCACTGAGCCACCTTCCCAGCCCATAAAGCCTTTTTTTTGTCAGTCATGGGGCTTGAACACCGGGCCTGGGCACTGTCCCTGAGCTCTTCAGCTCAAGGCAAGTGCTCTACCACTTGAGTCACAGCACCATTTCTGGTTTTTTGAGTGGTTTATTGGCAATAAAGAGTCTCACAAACTTTTCTGCCCTGGCTGGCTTTGAACTGTGATCCTTTGATCTCAGCCTCCTGAGTAGATAGGATTACAAGTGTGAGCCACTGGGCACCGCTAAAGTCTTTTCATATTTTATCGTAAGATATTCTTTCTTTTTTGCACCAGTACTAGGGCTTGAACTTCAGGGCCTATGCACTCTTCCTTAGGTTTTCTGCCCAAAGCTAGCAACTTGAGTTACAGCTCTACTGGCAGCTTTTTGGTGCTTAACTGGAGATAAAAGTCTCATGGACTTTTCTGCCTAGACTTACTTCAAATTGTGATCCTTAGAGCTCAGCCTACTGAATAGTTAGGATTAAAAGTGTGAGCCACTGGCATCTGGCTCTCAATATTCTTTTAAAACCTTTTTTTTTAAATTTCCATTTTAAAAAATTAAGGCCATGAGCCAGTGGCTCATGACTGTAATCCTAGCTACTCAGGAGGCTGAGATCTGAGGATCATGGTTCAAAGCCAGCCTGAGCAGGAAAAGTCCGTGAGACTCTTATCTCCAAATAATCACCAGAAAACCAACGCCAAGCGCTGTGGCTCAAGAGGTAGAGGGCTCGCCTTGAGCCTAAGAGCTCAGGGACAGCGTCCAGGCTCAGAGTTCAAGCCCCACAACTGACAGTAGATAGATAGATAGATAGATAGATAAAAAATTAAGTTGTTTGGTGTCACAGCAATGTAAGTCACATCTCTCATTTAAAGGAGAATTGGAATTGATTTTTTTTTTTTGGGGGGGGTCCGGTCGTGGGGCCTGAACTCTGCGCTTGGGCGCTGTCCCTCAGCTCTTCAGCTCAAGGCTAGCACTCTACCACTTGAGCCATAGCACCACTTCCGGCTTTTTTCTTTTTGCTTATGTGGTGCTGAAGAATCGAACCCAGGGCCTTGAGCATGCAAGGCAAGCGCTCTACCACTGAGCCATCTTCCCAGCCCCAGGAATTGATTTTTTTTTACTGCCTTTCTTCAAGAACAATGACAAGAGTACATTTTTCTTTGACCTATATATCCAGATGGCAAAGGTACTTGCAGATAAAGGGGGCAAAGATCTTTACTAAGTAAAATATTTTTCTCCTGGTAGTTGGGGAATGTGAACATAATTCATTTTCCTCTATCTAGACTATGTACATTGTTACTGGGAATGCCACATCATATTCTATTTTATGCCTATCATGAAATTTAAATATTTGTGTGAAGGATTGATCCCTACCCTATTGTCCCAGGCCTATATAGATGCCAGGCAGAATCCCAGGTATGTGCGAACTTGTCTGAAGTGCAGACAGGGCAATCCACCTGAGCCCAGCTGTAAACATCCCATTGTGGACCCAACTGAAAAGCCCCCACCTCCCTTGACCTAGCGGCTTTTTAATTCACCTCTGCCTCCTTGCTCAGACCTCATAGAAAAAACCAGCTCCTGTCCCAACTCTCTGGAACAACCTCCAGACCTGCAGGAAGGTCTGCGCCCCTCGCTGTTCCTCAAATAAAAATTCCCTGCCTGTTGATGATGGAGTCTGGCCTATTCCTTTTCCGTTCTCCATTTTCCCAACATTGTGTATTGTGGGAAAAGGGCTGCTTATGACCTTTTCAAAACTTGAAGAAAACTCCTATGATCATCATTCACTACAACCATCTCTATTTTCTTAAAATATATTTAAGTTTAATATACTAGACCAAAGAAGTATGTCATTATTAGTTTAATTTACTGAGTCAGACAAGAGACATCGCCAGCATTTTTGACAAAAGCGGCATCAATGTATACTTATATAAGAAATACATATGCTGGTGATAGTATTTTTTCTGGGCATAAATTCAAAGCATTAAAGCATTTTAGTTTTGAGATGAGGTCCTGCTCTGTTGCTTTAGGGTAGCCCCACACTACTGTGCGTTCAATCTCTCCGCCTGCTTCTTTAGTCTCGTAAGACTAAAAGTATCATGCCTCACCTGAAAACATTAAAATGCTTTAATCACTGTCATTCTAAAAGACAAAAGTGACATTTTTGGTTTTGCCTACACCTCTTTTGTTTTTTTGGTCAGTTGTGGAACTTGAACTCTAGGCCAGGTGCTGTCCCTGAGCTCTTCAGCTCAAGGCAAGCACTCTACCACTTGAGCCACAGTGTCACTTCTGGTTTTCTAGTGGTTAACTGGAGATAAGAGTTGTATAGACTTTCCTGCCCGGGCTGGCTTTGAACTGTGTGATCCTCAGATCTCAGTCTCCTGAGTAGCTAGCAATGCAGACGCGAGCTACGGGCACCTGACTGCCTACACCTCTTTAATTAGTAAAGTTAAACAGTTTTCCACATTTAGTGACTGATTGCAGTTGTTATTTTGAAAACTGTCTATAGGTTTCATGACCTCTTTCCTTGATTACTCCTGCTCCAAGAACTTGGCGGTCTAATTCATTAAACATTCCTGTATAAAAACTTACAATAATATTCCCAGTTGACCAAAAGAATACAAAGGTTTTTTTTAAAGGATTATAAAGATGAAAAAACCCAGGGCTGGGAATGTAGCTTAGTTGGTAGAGTGCTTGCCTAGCATGCAAGAAGCCTTGGGTTCAATTTCTCAGTACCACATAAAACAAAAAAGCCAGAAGTGACGCTGTGGCTCAAGTGGTAGAGTATTAGCCTTGAGCACAGAGAGGTTCAGGGACAGTGTCTAGGCCCTGAGTTCAAGTCCCAGGATTGGCAGGAAAAAAATCCAGCATATGAAGGATTCTCATCGAAATACAGCTTGGAGAAAAATCAGTTTTTAGTTAGATACTTTGGATTTAAGGTGAGAATCAATTTTCTTTTACCATTGAATTCTTCAACTTCTAGCTCTGGAGCCACCATGTAATACTGCTCACATAGCATCTTGGCAGTTTCATATGCATCTATAAGAAAGAAAAGTTTAGCTTTTATACACCAATGACATAGATACAAACATGTAAAGTAACAAAGGCAAATTGTCTAAAACAAGAGCTTTACAATGAACCAACTACCTCTTTTAAAACATAGCCTTTAGGCTTTACTGTATTACTATGACTAAAAAATTTTTTCCTTTGTGTGTGTGTGTGTGTGTGTGTGTGTATGTGTGTGTGTGTGTGCATGTGTGTGTGTGTGTGTACGCCAGTACTAGGACTCAAACTCAGAGCCTGGTCTCTCTATCCCTTAGCTTAGCTCTTTTACTCAATGCTGAACCATTTATAGCTCCACTGCCAGCTTTTTGGTGGAGACAGGAATCTCACAGATTTTCCTGCCTGGGCTGGCTTCAAACTGTGATCCTTAGATATCAGCCTCCTGAGTAACTAAAATTACAGGTATGGGACACCAGTGTCTAGTTCCTTAAAGTCTTAGTATTCACAACTATGTCAAAATGAGGTTAGTCACAATATAGCTAGTTTTGCAGCAAGTACACAGTTTAACTTTCAAGTATTGCTAAAAGGTATTTTTCATGAAAATTCATAAATTCAAGACTTGTGAACCTCATGTTGTCTGACTAAATTGCAGGGAGGATACACCTGTAATTATAAAAAATACTGCAATCGGTCTTATGATTTGGAAGTTATCTGTAAATGAAACATCAATACGGACTTGCTCAATGCCTGGGTTTTCATGAGACATACAATTTCCGTTATTGGAACCACCAACATCACTTTAAAATGTCCTTCACATTAGCTAAAGCTAACAGGCTGGGGCTGAGAAAAAGCAAAAATACCTCGTGACACATTACATTTTCTCTTGAACTGTAAACTATGGGGGGGAGGAGAGAGGAGAGAGGAGAGAGAGAAGTGGGGAGAGAAGACAGGAAAAAGGAAATGAAAATTTCTGGCCTCCTTAATCCAAAAGTATGTGCTTACTGCCATGTATTTTAAAAAAGCAATAAATTGCTACTTTATATTAATATGAAAAAAAAGAAAAAGAAAAAAAGAATCACAACAACAAAAACCTTAAAATCAATCTGACGTCCGGATTTGTGTCCTACACTTCTTTATTATATCCAGAACTCAGTATAATGCCTGGTTAGATGTTCAATGGATATTCCTTGATTTCATAAATTATACACCCACTTATCAGTGGCAAATAGATATTAAAGTGATACTGAATTTTAACCCTGAAAAAAGAATTTTAAATTATACTAGATGTGTAAGTTTCTTTTTCTAGGCAGTAATAAACCTTAACAATTATCCTTCAAAAATACTTCATAAAATGAGAAATCAAGACTCCTTCCTTTTGCATTGGCCATACCACCAAACAATGCTACATCTCCACCTAGTGACGTGAGAGCACGCAGCCCATCACGAACTTCCAAAATTACAAATAATACAACTGAAAAACAGTACTTTGCAGTGCTAGTGGTTCACGCTTATTATTCCAGCTACTAGGGAAGCAGAGATCTGAGGATCAAGGTTCAAAGTCAGTAGGGGCACAAAAGTCTGTGAGACTCTTATGTCCTATAAACTACTCAGAAAAAGCTGGAAGTGGCACTGTGGCTCAATTGGTAGATTGCTAGTCTCGAGCAAAAGCAGCTCAGGGACAGTGCCAAGGCCCTGAGTTCAAGCCCTAGGATTAGCAAACACACCAAAAAAATGAATTTAAAAAGATACCAGAGCTTTGCTATCTATATACAAAGATAATACAACACAGCTCCTCCAGATATAGAATAAAGCTATTCAAATATGGAACTTCCTTTCAATAGAAAACAGGAAGAGAAACTAAATCTACCAAATGTGCTAATTCCACAGAGCATTAGCTTTCTCATTGGCATGATTGTGATAGCACTGAAATATACTACATATGTACAATGTGTGGAAGAGAGTGGAGTCCTGGAAGAAACTACCCGCTTCTTAAAGCTCTTCAAGCTCACATTGATCAATGCTTTCCAAAATTATCTTTCCTTCTTACTGCTGTTTTTGTTGTTGTTGTTTTCTTGCTTTTGTTTTTTGGGTACGGGTCCTGGGGATTGAACTCAGAACCTAAGGTATTGTCTCTGAGCTTTTTTTGCTCAAGGCTACCACTGTACCACTAGAGCCACAGCTCTACTTCCAGCTTTGTAGTGGTTAATTGGAGATAAGAGTCTCACAGACTTTCCTGCCCCAGCTGACTTTGAACCCTGATCCTCAGATCTCAGCTTCCCGAGTAGCTAGGATTACAGGCGTGGGCCACTGGTGACCAGCTACTGTTATGTCTTTGCTATCCTTCACTGTTTTATCTTGTTAGAGTTAGTCTAATGTCTCTATCATTGGTGCAAAGGTAGGAGCAGAACCCCTTATGTAAGAGCAGTGAAGAATCCTAAAACTTGTAGTCACAGGCCAAAAACAAAACAAACAACCACAGCTAGTTAAACACATCGTTTAGACTTTTAGGATGAGGATGATCAGGCAGGACAGAAGCCTAAAGGGCTTGCTGAAAGTTATCACAAACAGGCTGCAGTCAAGTCAGCCAAGCTACAGACAAAAATGAGAAGCTGGAGCAGGCAGAGAAAGGTAGAGAGGCCATGACTTGGCAGGTGCAAGACACTCAATTTTGCTTTCTGGTTCCCAACTCTAATATCTACAGCACCAACTGTCAAGGGACCTACTATGATCTTTTAGTCAATCTGTTTCTGAAACTAGCCTGAATGAGGGAATCTCTGTACCTGGCAACCTGAAGAGCCCGAAGTGAGAGAATAAGACATTATTTCTGAACCAGAATAATGTCATGCTCTCAGGAGACCATTTGTATGCTATTATGCTAAGCAATAATAGCATATAGGAGCAACACCAGCAAGTTAACATCGTCACCATGAGAGCAGACTTTTGTACCAAGTATTTAAGCTTGTACCTTTAAAATGATCTTACCGCAGGATTTTCCATTTGATTTCCTGGTTTCTCACAAAGAAAGGAGGGAAACCGGTCACAAAGGAAGGCCCCTCCCAAAGGATAATAGGACCTGCTTTAGAACACTAATTCTAGCATTTACTACCCTGAGTCTATAATTTGCAGATGTGTAAAGGTAGATATTAATGTGCTAAATAAGCCACAAGGAGGCATGCTTCAGGGTTCTGAACATTCAATTCATGTTATAAACGATGCACCCTACTCTTATACGTTTATACAACTGTCTAGTCAAAAATAAAAATATTGTCCCTACCCTCTGACATAAAAGTTTTCTTGTAGTCCACCCTCAAGATATCTGCATGGTGTCAGTGTTAGCTGATGGAAGCACATGGACGAATATGTGCCATTTGGGATGGACACTGAACTATGCTTAAACCATGGGACATCTTCATAGCTGTAAAAATCATGAGTAGAGCTATCATTAAAATCCAGAACCTTACCAAGCACTGGTGTCTCATGCCTGTAATCCTAGCTACTCAGGAGAGCGAGATCTGAGGACTGTGATTCTAAGCAAGTGTGGGCAGGAAAGTCTGTGAGACCCTGAGATCCAATTAACCACGAGAAAACTGGAAGTAGAGTTGTGGCTCCAAGTGGTAGAATGCTAGCCTTGAGCACAAAGACTCTCAGGGACAGTGAGCGTCTAGCTCCTGAGTTCAAGCCCCACAACTGACCAAAAAAAAAAATCCACAATCTTTACTCTCAACATTAAGTTTCTTAAACAAAAGGAGAAACAAAATACCGGATACAGAGATGTTGAGTGAGATTAACCAGTCTCAGTGGATGTTGGGAAAAGGTAAAGAGCCAGTATAAAAGTGCCAACTACTCTAAAACACAGAAGGGAGTAGGGTAAGACTTTACTAAGAAGAATAAGAAATTGATGTCCATTTATTATTTTCCTTGGTATTACTTGGGGTTATTAAGAAGAGTATTTTACTTATTGTTTCTGGTATGTTGGGGATGCGGATTCCAGGGCCTTTCAGGCAGAAGGCACAAAGAGGCAGGTATGGTGGTGCACTCTTGTAATCCCAGTTATTAGGAGGAGGTGGAAGAGCATGAGTTCAAGACTAGCCTGGTAAAATAAACAAAATTCTATATATAAAAAATTAAAGCCACTAGACATTGTATTGAAAATAAACTATATAACTTCTGGGTGGGCATGGGAAGGAAAAACTAGGAAAGCGAGGGAAGGAGTGACATTGCCCAAAAAGAACTCACTACCTGACTTACATAACTGTAACCCCTCTGCACATCACCTTCAAGTCTTTTTTTTTTTTTGCTAGTCCTGGGGCCTGAACTCAGGGCCTGGGCACTGTCCTTGAGCTTCTTTTGCTTAAGGCTAGCACTCTAATACTGAAGCCACAGCACCCAGTCCCAGACTTTTCTGTTTATGTAAAGAATAGAACCCAGGGCTTCATGCATGCTACGCAAGCACTCTACCACTAAGTCACACTTTATAACAATGAAAATTAAAGCACTGGAAGATATGGCTCAAGTGGTATACTACTTTAATAGCCTGTGAAAGGCCCTAGGTTCATTCCTTAGCATTGATAGAGACAGGTATTTTTCAGCCTTTCAGCCACTGGTGCTGTACTTTTAGCCTTCTTTTGAGCTGCAACAGCTTATTTCCCATAGGAAATAAAGCAGGGATGGGGCTGGGGGTTTAGTCCAGCAGAAGGGCGCCCGCCTGGCGCGCGCAAGGCCCTGGGTTCGGTTCTCAGCCCTGGAAAAAAAAAAAAAAAGGAAAAAAAGCAGGGAGATGGCTATCAAAATTTGCTTTAGTCGCAGGAAGAAGAGTGGTCATTAGGTTTCTTTCTAGATTGCCTAGTCCATTTTTCCATGGTAGGAACAGAAGGTGATTTAAGGTGAATTCTTCATTGACTGGAAAAATCATTTGACTATACAGATTATGAATGTCACAGATCAGGTGTGATCCAGAAGCTGGGCTACTACTACTGTCACAGGAGGTAAGCACTGCTGGAGATGGGGTCATAAACAATACTAATTTCAGACTATGA